TTTACCCCCATAGAGTGAAGCTAATAGACCTAAATATGAGCATATATCTCATCCACTTTAGTGCAGACATGTGTTATCTGGTTGATTTTCCACTGAAGCTTATTAAATAATGCTCAACATTTCCTACCCTGCTGACTGAGCTGAGGGGCAATAAACCTCCTGGTGACTGGTAGTGATAAGCAGCCAGAGTGTGTAACATTTTCAACTGCTCCACATGGAGTCATTAAGGAATATCTGCCTATGCTGCTGCTTCTAGAAGAGGAATATGCTTGCTCCCCTTTGACATTTCTTCCTCCTGAAGGAAAAAAAGGGTTCTTAATTATGTTTTACCAGCAATTAATTTTTCCCTGCATCAGCACTCTCTTCCTCTATTGAGACTCACAGTATCCAACATACATACACACACAAAACTCTTGCCAGACTGCTTGATTTTTTGACTAACAATCTACTTGACCAGAAATACTGCAATTTAAAATGTGCTTCTCACAACAAGGCTCCCAAATTCACAATACAGCGTCAGATGAACCCCTAGGAAAAACAAGGTTGGAGGTAACTATCTATTCTCACTAAAAACATTCCTCCAGTGATATCTGGGAATTTGTCTCTAAGAAGCAAACAATCATTTTGTGGCTTAGGTAGCTCTCTGATCACCAGGTAATGTCACCATTCTAGCTATTTGTATTAGGCTTTGTTCCAGAACTGCAGTCTAGAAGAGCAGGTTTGGTTTGAGCCCACCCCCAGAGGTTTGAAAAAAAGCCTGAATAACATGGATATCTGCCATGTATCTAGTTCTTGCCAGCCCTGCCTGCACTGCCTTTTCAATGAAAGCTGACCCACTCTCCTCAGCATTCCTCTTCAAGAGTTCATTTGCATTTCTCATCCTATCTCAAGTGAAAAAGGACTGTCCTGAGAATGCATTAGCACATGGAAATCCTGTAACAGCCAATGGATGTTAGAAATCTGTAGCCTGAGGCAGCTGAGAATGAATGATACGCAGAGTGCCTTATAAAAGTCACCATGCATTTGGAACTCCGTGTTATTGTTAAACAGATCAGAAACACAAAGAACTGGCAAGCACAAAACAGCATGACAAGGGTCCGATGTCCAATGGAAAAGTCTAAATTTAATTACTGGTACAAAGTCATGCATTCTGCCACAATTATAAGAATACACCAACTTCAAGTCCCTATTAATCTGAATGCATTAGTGTTGCAGAAAGGAAGCTACTAACTAAATATGTAATTTGTACATGTGAACGACAACTGCAGATAGACATTCTCATTTGCAAGCAGAACGTTTCTGATGTCATTTCTGTAAGTTCACAAATCAAATCTCAGCTCATCTGGGAATAACTGTAATGTTATCTGGTTTTAAGGTCAACATTCAGAAGGCCTAGGCAGCTCTTATCCAAACTCCCTAATCTTACCAGGGCTTTAAAACTTTTTACCTGCATACCTGGGAACAAAAAAATTCAGTTTGCACTTTTTAATATATCCTTCTTAATTTTTTTTTTCAAAAAAAAATCTGGCTGTCCCACATATTCATTTAGCAGTGTGAGCTGATGCTTTAAAAGCAAAATATAAAATTTACAATTCATAATAAAACCCATCCATATTTTCATTAGTTGCCCACAACTTCAAATGTGGGCAAACAGATGGCTAATTGTAAACAAGGATCTGTGGTAACTTTGCCTTGAAAAGCAATGCCACCTTACTTTTGGGGAAAGAGGAGTCTAGAACAGAACAGGGACCTTAAAAATATTCTCATTTGTTGTACTCATTGTGATAGCTCAATGTGGAAAAACAATGTATATTCTACAATTCAACAGCAGAAAAGTCTACCTTTGTGAGAAAAGCCAGGCATCTAAAAATACTGATAAATGGGCTACAAAAAGCAGTAGTTTGCTGCCCAAAGCAATCAAAACATTTCTAAAAACATTGCTCCTACCACCAAAATGGTGCAGAAGAGAAAAACACACATCTGAAAGCATGAAAACCTACTTTATTCTACCTCTCCAAAAGCATAAATAGCAGGGCAAGAGAATGGGAGCAGCTTTCAGGACCTGTGCCCTAATTACCTATGGGGATTGCCTGTACCAACCTGTGTCTTACAACATAATCAGCACTTCATGCAAGGATGCAAACTTCACAACTTCACCCGGCTTAGTTCTGCTGTTGATGCTTTTGCACACTCCTCCCTTGCCTTTGCGAGTAAGAGGAGGCCACTACTGACTATGTAACAAAGAAACAGAATGTAATCTCTGTATCCTACACCTAATTTAAACATTTTGTATTCATTTCTCCCGGCACAATGTGCAATGAATGAATAACTAGATCATTATCTCCACATCAATGAAAAATCTAACATCACTGGGACAGGAAGCTGGAGCTCTAACAACAGACAGCTGTAGTGCACACTAGGTTAGAATTGGGAAAGGAAAGCACTACTGGCAATTTAAATTTAGGAGGGATTTTATTATAATTATCATGACTGCAACATAGCCAAGAAAATACTGAATGGAAAGGGAGCTCTCAAAGCTCCTAAGCCAAAAATTATTATAGCAAATTTTACATATAGCCATTTATTCAGTTAATCTGGTCTCACATTTTTCTTCTCAGATGTTTGCTTTTGGTACAGCATTAGTCCACCCAGAGTTTAAAAAGGAAAGTTTATGATTTAAAATCCAAATCCACGAGTTCTCTGTAAGTGTAGTGTTACTGCAGAGAAAATTGGTTCTTAAAGGGCACATTCTAAAACAGATTTATTTGCTTTCCATAAGTACTTTTTTTGAGCTTCAGGTATAAATCTTGTTTATTTCAGATGACTGAATGAATCCAAAGGGGAAATTCTATTAAGAGTAAAGAAATCACCCCACACACATTCAGAAATTTAGCAAAAGCATCTGAAAAAAAATATTGCAACAAAATTTTGCCATGATCCTTCACACTGGGGTGATTTTTCTCCCCTTTTGCTGATAAAATGGCAGAACTTTCTTCCCCAACCCAAAGATAAGTTTTATAAAGAGAGTTTATAGGAGTTTTCAGAAAGGAATGAGATTTTTTTCCTCAAAATGTAGTTGAGATTACAGACACTGTAAAAAAAAAATCACTTTATATTACAAAGAAGGCACAGAAATCTCTACAGAAGATTAGTTTAGCTTGGGAGTTGAGAATTTTGAACAAGTGATTCCTTGCACGGACCTCATCAATATGCTTTTAAGTCTACTGTTGAGAAATGGATTACCCAGGAAGAGGAAGCTGGTGATTCCTCAACTCTGTTGCTATGAAGTACAAGCTATCAATTAATAAAGATCCAATTATCACTTTTCTATCCATGGGTTTGGGGTTTTTTTTGAGTGATACTTATGGACAAATTTTACTTAGCGTGCAAAATTGATTAGCAATAGCAAGCAAAACAGAAAACAAGGGAACAACTCAGGACATCTTAATCTATTTTACAGTAATTTTTCATGTACACTTCACTGTGGCTGAGAAATCAGAAAATTAATCAATAAACATAAAGTGCTTATCTCTAAGAATTTTTACAGATTTCAATTCTCAAATATAACAATAATAAAAAAGATGTTTATTTAGATAGGGCAATAGTCACAAACTGGAAAACAGAAGGTTCAACCTAAACATAAGGAAATATATCTTTACTGTGAGGGTAACAGAGCACTGGCACAGGGTGCCCAGAGAGGGTGTGAAGTTTGTCTCTGCAGACGTTCAAAACCCGCCTGGACATGTTCCTGTGTGGCCTACTCCAGGTGATCCTGCTCTGGCAGGGGAGGTTGGACTAGATGATCTTCAGAGGTCCCTTCCAACCCCGAACATTCTATGATTCTGTGGTAGTTTTCTTTCAATTACTACAGAATGAAAATGTACCTTGAAGAGTAATGTGTGCAACTGTGAGCAAGAAGCAATGATCAGATTTTACGCAAATACTATTATACAAACAAAGCAGTGGAAAAATAAATATCAGTATAGTACAATATAAGCAAGTATACATGTAATATATAATATAGCAAGTATATGTGTAAAAATAGGTAGCACTTGTCTATGGATTCATGCATGATATACTTTATCACATACAATCATTACTAGATGAGAAAGGCACTGTAACTAATAAGCCATTCTAACTCGAAGTCATCTTAATGGCTTCCTATTGTTTGACTTGTATTTGTAGTCAGTGTTTTTTTCATTGCCAGTGTTTTTTTCACTGCTAAAGTGTCCTTACCAATTACAGAGAGGTTACAGAACATGTAAAAGCTGGATTAGTAAACAAAGGTAGGAAATATCTTTTTTTCTGACAAAGATGAGCATAAAAATACCTTAAAAGAGAACTGCCACGTCCTGCAGATTTTCTTTTATTTCTTAACATAGTGTGGAAAACGTTCAAAATATTTTGTAGTGTAGCTCGGTATTGATGAAAAGTTTTACTACAATATACTACATAACCCAGTTCTACCTCTTTTCCAACTCTTGTCTTCCAGGAATCTAATTTAAAGCATCTCTTACTTTTAAATTATAAACATCAGGAACAACTAAGTACAAGACATCAAGTGACGTTGTACTTTGGTGCCATAGTTCGGTGTTACTCGAGAACCTATAAAACGCAAGTGAATTTCCGTTTTCCTAATTCCCGAAAAGAAAGCAGATACGGTCAATCCCTCCGAGCAGCACACAGACAAACCCCTGTGTCTTCCCAGAGCTTGAGCTATTGTTGCACGCTAACTGGAGCGGTTAAATGCGGGACGTCGATCGCCAGCCACAAAGGCAAACAAACCGCTAAGGTTAGTCTGTAGCACCCGCGGGGAAACTGTTTGAAAGGAAGTTTGGGCACACCGATGTCTTGAGCAACTGTTTAATGAAAGGACCGTTGTCCCTTCCCATCCCTCCTCTCAGACAGGGGCCATCAGAGGAGGCAGCTCCCACCCAGCCCCGCCACCCCCGGCCGGGGCAGCCTCACCTCCCCGGGAGGGCTGCAACAGCGAGACTTACCTTGGTGAGCTGGGCAATCTTCTTGCACATTTTCATGTGCATTTCCTGATGGCGTTCCTCTGCCAAGCCGCTGCGAGCGGCTTTAGATCCCTGCGAGCGGCTTTAGATCCCTGGCAAGTCCCGGGCTGATGAATCTTGTTTATGCCAGAGGCCATTAGGCTCGAACTGTAAATGAAGCCTGTGTGTGTACGCTCCGGGTAGCCCGGTCCTGCCTCCGGTGTCGGCCTCCCCCGGCGCGTTGCGCGCACTCAACCCTCCCCCAGCACTGCGGGAACTTCGGCCCCAAACAGGGGCCAGCGCCGCCGCCCTCCCTCCTGTGCAGATGTCCCAGTCCTTCAGCACAGCACCCGGGCGAGGAGGCAGAGAACAGCATGTCCAAACATCCTGACTGCGATTTCCCTCCCCCCTCCCCCCTTCTCTTCAACTGGTTAAGCTTCCACCGGGACAAGATGCCAGCAGCTGGGAGCTACAAATTCCCCAAGGAGACGCTGAGCCAGCCGCACAGACGAGCAGCACACGCGTTGCTGAGGATCTGTTGCAGAGATCGTCTTGCAGATCAAATCATGTTGCCTTCTTGGGCTGCCAAGGGATCGCAGAGGTCGTCAGAGAAGATGGCCTCGGCACTTTTCATAAGCTCTGTTAATTTGGCCACCGTCTCTAAGTCTGGATGGACCAACAAAGTGATGAAGAAAACCTTGCTCAATTTTGCTGCTGTGTTGAAAGCAGAACCGAGCAGCAGTTCCTCCAGCTAAGAGGCGCCCTTGAGCACAAGCTGAGCCCGGGAGCGGTGGCCAGGATCCGGTCTGCCTGCCTTAGCCAGAGACTCCTCAGTTCCCCTCAGTTACACTGAAGGCATTGGAAAGGTGCCAGAAGGAAACTGAACGTTACAGGTCTTTTTCTTCCTTTTTTTTTTCTTCTTTTCATCTGCAAGCTGTTCCAGCTCTTCAAAGAGATCAGGCTTCTACATGTAAAAATAAAAAAAGGAGATAAAAGCCAGGAAAAAAGGGCATACAAAAAAAGCAAACTATTCATATAATGAGATTTTTAAAGGAGAATGCTTCAGTAAGTTGTTATGAAAGAAGAAAATGGTTAGTGGACGTGTTTAAACAAGTATAGAAGAGAACAGGAAAGGAGAAGTCAAAGTAGCAAAGTCAACGAGGCAGAGAAGAACAGGTAAGAGAAGCTGAGAGCTGCTCAACATCCCTTTGACGTGTCGCAGCAGCTAGTGCAAGAGACCTCACGGAGCAGGCCAAGGGCTGCTTCTTTCCCCCTGTGCCACACAGGTAAGGCAGCTTTCCTGTCTCACCTACTTGCAGTGCTTTCTATCCTTCTTGGGCAGGAAGATTCCACTTTATTAGCGGTGGGTTTGAAGAGCTTTCTCAGGACTACCAGAACTGGGAAGGAAAAATATGCAGTGTTAGCTAAGTGCTAGGCAAAAGGGAAAAGGGAAAATCCCCAGTGAAAAATGGAAATCATTGGTGAGAGCAAAAAGAGATAAAGCACTGTTAACAATAAACAAGAAGAAAAAGATCAGGGCAGAAAAAGAATGCCTGCAAGCAGTTGGGAAAAAGGAGTGAGAAGATGTGAGAAGACCTTGGGACAGAGAAACCAGGCCCTTTAATGGCTCGGAGGAACTCGGTCTCCAGAGGCAGAAAGAATCTTCACTCAAGGAGTGAGAGGAAATGAAGTCTGACAGAGAAACTCACCATAGGAGAAGGGAAAGACCAGGAAGAAAAGGGAAAGGTCACAGTTGCTAGGAAATGCTAGGCAGAGAAGAGAAATTTAGCCCCAACAAAACATTAAGAAGAAAGGGTAAGAAACTGAGCCTTGCACACAGGAATGACCGAGTTTCTTCATTCACTGGCATCAGTGTCCAAGATGCTGCTGTCTGTGACTGAAACTTTTTCTATGCCAGGGCACAGAGATGCTGTTGTCAGTTGTTGGGTATCTGATAAAATATGTACTCACATTGAAGTTTAACTTGGTTAATATGGTTTTATCATCTTCTCTATATGGTCACCAATTTGAGAAAAAAAGTGTAAGAACTTAACTATATGTAAAATTTTGATAAAATTGCCAAGTTTAAGACAATCAAGAGAACACAAAGGGCTAGAGCAACTTCCTAGCACCATGTTTCCTCAGAAAAAGAACAAGCCAGAGCAAAAATAGAAAGAAAATTAAGGTAAGTACAAAAGGTTTTAAAAGTGCTTGCAGCAAGTTACCTGTGGTATTGCTCTACTGTAAAGATAGTAACATCCATGGTTTTTTCTACCAAACAGCAGAGAACACACTGAACCTGAATGCATGGCTGGACAGAGATTTGAGACACTTACATAGACGTAGATAGAGCAGAGAAGCGCAGATATTCAGTATACTGTGAAAGGAATAAACCACCAAGGTATTTTCAGACAGGCTTTTTATGTATTTTGGCAGGTTAGAGAGAAAAACTTGAGGCTTTTGAGCAAGTTGGTGTTTTAGCAGAACATAATTTGTCACTGGTAAAGTATTCTGAGTCAAGACAAGACTTGTCAATCAATACTTCAAACACTGGAAAAGCTTCAATCAGATCCCATGCACCAGAAAACACAACCACAGAACATGATTTCATAGGTGACTCGAGTTCATTAGTTTCACCACTCAGGAAACCCAGTTGGTTTCAATAACAGAATTGCAGCAGATAGTGCCAGAGCTTTTCAATGAGAATTTGACAATTTTTTTTTTGTCTTCTAATTCATACAATAATAAAGCAAGGGCATCACAAAACAGTTTGTGTACAATACAAATTAGGAGTTTATGAGAACCACATGGAACGCATAAGATTAGTGACCATTCAAGAACTCCGGGCAGTATATGGCAAAGACAGTTTAAAAGTTAAAAGTCTAAAAAGAATACATACACCTCTACTTGAGTTATTCCTGCATCACTAGTTTTAGGTAAATTATGAAAGAAGGTGGTCATGTCACTACAGTCTTTGTAAGTCTATGAGTGACTGTACACAGGTTTAGAGCTTTACTGCTCAGATGCATTAACTAATTTCCTTTCTATTATTAAAAAACCAGAAGTCGTACTTGAGTAAAAGGCTTTCAAACCTGCCAGGTACTTCCTGCTTGTTGAATTGCTGACTATGTAGCTTCTGAAATCTTCAGATGAGCTACTGTTAAAAGATCCACACATCCCAAATTTCAAGACATTAATAAGGTATTTCTGTTTCAAATGCTTAAGACAGAAGTTCATGCCTTTGTTTAACACATTACAAAAAACTTTCCCAAAAGACAATTAATAGAGTCCAATTCTCCCTCTCTTTTTCTGAAGTCAGGGGCATTTATTTTTCACTTTTTAATATATGAAGGTGAAGTTAAACTGATCCCCTAGATTACACTCCACTGATGTTCTGCAGTCCAATAAAATTTGCATCTGAAAATTGCAGAACAATAGTTAGCCATTATCTGCCACGTTGTGTTTAAAGTGACAAAGCCATATCAATAAAATGGATTTAAAAATTCTCAAGTTAGTTAGAAGATGCATCCCTAAGTGAAATGATAAATTAATTCATAAATCATTTTCCTCATTATTGACCTCCAAGTAAATTCATTTTGGTCCTAGAGTAGCTTTTTAACCCCAGAACACAGAATTCAGGGACTTTTCTTATGGAGAGGAAAAAAAAAAACGAAATAAGGATAAAAAAAGTAGTCAGAAAGGGCCTGGAGAACAAACCTTAAGAGGAGCAATTGAGGGAGCTGGGACTGTTTAGTTGATGAAGAGGAGGCTGAGGGGGGACCTCATCATGCTCTTCAATTACTTGAAAGGACATTGTAGAGAGGTTGGTGCTGGTCTCTTCTCACAGGTAATTAGGGACAGAACCAGGGGGAATGGTTTCAAGTTGCAACAGGGCA